TGGTACTGTCGGGAGTCTCTCTGGCCCTTAATCATCGGCAACTGCTAAATGAAGTGTATCTATTTTCTCTGTTACATTACTACTGGCAACCAGTTCCTCAGTAAGTGCCCAGAAATGTTGCCATGGTTACAAAAAGCATTCAGCATCCCTCTTGTTTTGGGCCAATTTAGCTTAAAATCTTTTGTGGAGAAAAAATATGGCACATTAAGGAACATAAACTCCAGACACCACGTTATGAAAAGAACTCAAGGTTAAATGGGAAAAGGAGGCCTGACAAAGCTTTTTGAAAATGGAACATAAATCACTGAGGGAAAGGCTGCCTTTTCCTGGTGCATCCACAAACACCTCTCTTCAATAAAGTGCAAGCAGGCTCAGTACTCCAGCTTACATTATGCCTTGGTAGAAAGAAGCAGCAGCGAGCAAAAAGAGCACCTGAGTATTCTGAAGATTGTTAACCAGCAGATAAGATCCCAAAACACAAGTGCCTTAACATTTATTCATCTGGGAGGCCAGTCACTTATCCTAGTTTTGTAGGGCCCTAGGGGCATTTAAATATCTTCTGGAAGGGGAGGAACACGAGCTTTTCTTCATTGGCTACGAGAGAGTGGAAGTAAATTAGAGAGGGAGAAATGGAAGTTCCCTAAGGGCAACTTAGTAAAACTCTTCCATCTTCCAACTATAAAGTCACGAGTGAATTGGACTAAAGAGACTGTCTCATGCTAGTCCCCTGCTGCAGTCCCAGCTCCCAGCTCCCACTGCCATCGAAGAGTTGCCTCCTCTTGAACAAATTAGACAAATGATATAAGCTTTTCAATTAGTCTCAAGGAGAAGCTCCTCGTTTGTACTTGTGTGTCCTTGTGCAGGCCCCACAGTGTTGTGTCCATAGTAGGTTTGGTACATTCTTGATGGGCTGAGAGGGGCCATAGTGCAAGACTTCTCTCTAAAGAATCTCCTCCCCGCTCCGTCTGCCCACACAGGTGGGCCACGCTGTACCCTTTGGGGTTGCTCCTGGTCTGACTGGGAGAAGTAAGGGACCGGGTGGGAGTTACAGTCATAATTCCACTATCTGTGCTATGCTGTCATCCATGCTCACCCTCCACAAGGCGTTCTCATGTCTCATGGCTGTTGGCAGAAGACATGAGAGGCCTGCGGTAGAGACAAAGAAGAGTTTATTACTCAGCACAGCAAGCAGAATGAGCCCTGTGTTCATACTTCTGTCCTATGCCGTCACACAATTCCCAGGGCAGCAAGGCAGAGGTGGGTCCAGTGAGGTGGCATATATAATGCTCTCGTGTCCCTGTGAAGGAACACCAAACGTAGACCACCTATCTTGCTTGCCCAAACTTTTCTCTGCAAAGAGACACTGTCTTTATTACATAGAACAACAAACACATCTTTGCTCTGCTCTGGTAAGAGGCACTCTCTCTAGCTTTTAAGGTTCTTTGTTATACAAACATTCATGATCGTTTATAACCTATAAAAATGATGACAATTTTCAAAACAACTAGCAACTTGAAATACTAGTGAGGCTACAAAGTGATTCTCATACTGTTAGGACTGCCAAAAAAGAATACTTTGGAAAACAACTGGAATTTTTTTATGAGTTAAACATATACCAACCATATGGTCCAGAAATCTTGCTCCTAAGGACTTCCTGAATTGAAACTTACAGTCACAGACATACATAGAAATCCATTTTGAAAATGCCTGTAGAACTTGTATTCCAGCTTGTAAATATTGGAAGCAATTCAAATAACCCTCAACTGCTCAAAGTGAGTTGCTGAAACATAGCAGGGATGTTGTGATAAGTGAAAGAAGTCGGACTTGGCAGGCTGAAGCTTGTATGCCTCCACCTATAGGACATTATGGGAACGTGAACACTATAAACACAGAAGATAGATCAGTGATTGCCAGGCGCTGGAGGTAGGGAAGAGAACACAGAAACCTTTTTGAGGTAAAGGAATGCTCTGAAATTTTGATTGCGTGTGTGTGTGTGTGTGTGTGTCTGTGTGTCTGTCAAAACTCATAGAAATGTACCATAATTTTGTTGTATGTAAATTACACATGAGAAAAGTGTGTGTGTGTGTGTGTGTGAATTCTAGAATCAGTCAGCCTACATTAAGTCTCTTTCTAAATGTCTGGTCACAAAGCATCAATATTCTCAACTGCAAAGCAGGAATAAAAAGAGCACTGACTGCTTCTTGGCCACTGGTCCATTATTATCTGATGTCCTGCCAGACACCTACCACTGTGGTTTATGTTCCGTCTAAGCGGGGTCCTTTCCTTCTGTGCTGTTGTTGGGTGCCACAGACTTGGTTCTGAGCCCACATGACTATTTTATAATCAAAGCCTCTCTGAGCCTGCACTGTGCTCACAATGGTTGCTGTTTCAGGCCACTGCTGCAGCCACTGAGGGTCTTCCTGGTCTTTCCCAAGCACCATGTGCTACTTCAAGGACTGGTCTCTCCTGCTAACATGTCCTAAGTACTTGAGAAAGTCTTGGCATCTTTGTTTCTAAGAAGCATTCTGGTTGTAATCTTCCAGATTCTATTTACTCATTCTCCTGACAGACTGTAAGACAGTTAATGTTCTTCTTCAACACCATCATTCCAAAAGATCAGTTCTTCTCCTGGCATCCTCGTTTAGTGTGGAGATTTTGCATGCACCCAAAGGGACTGAAAATACTGTGGCTTCAGCCAACTTAGTCCTGAAATTGTCATCTTTGCTTTCAGGAGAACTTCTGCAGCAGATTCGCCCAATTCAACAGGTCATTTGACTTCTTGACTGATGCCTCCATGTGCATTGATTGGTGATCCAATTAAAATTAAATCCTTGACCATATCAACACTTTCTGTTTATCCATTTATAATGATCCCTACACAGAGTCATTATACAAAAAAAAAACTACACCATATCAGGAGGTAGCATATGAACAAGAACCAATCGTGCTGAAGGAAGAAGTTCAAGCTACAATGAAAGCATTAACCAAAAGTCAGGCTCCTGAAATGGATGAAATGTCACTCACTTATCTATAACAAGGAATTTGGAAGACAGCTACTTGGCCAGCTAACTAGAAGAGATTCATCTTATATCCATTGCCAAGTGAGGTGACCTGACAGAATGCTCAAACTAGGGAACAGTATTACTGATACCACATGCCAGAAAATTTTGCTGAAGATCATCCAACAGTGGTTGCAGCCATACCCCAACAGAGAGCTGCCAGAGGTTCAGGCTGGATTCCTAAGAGGACAGGAACAAGGGATATCATTGCTGATGTGATGGCTCTTCACTGAAAGCAGAGAATACCAGAAAGATGTTTAATTGTGTTTTATTGACTAGGCCAAGGCATTTGACTGTGTGAATCATTACAAAGTACAGATAACCTTGAAAAGAATGATAATTCCAGAACACTTCATTGTGCTTATTTGGGCCCTGTACTTGGAACAAAGGGCAGTTGTGCAAACAGAATAAGGGGACATCGCATGGTTTAAAATCAGGAAAGGTGCGTGTCAGGGTTGTTTCCTCTCACCATCCGTATTCAATCTGTGTGCTGAGCAAATCGCCAGAGAAGCTGGATTCTGTGAAGAAGAATGTGCTAGCAGGATTGGAGAAGGGTTTATTAACAACCTGTGATCTGTACACGAAACAGTCTTGCTGGATGAAAGTGAGGAGGACTGTCCCAGCACTTGCTGGGGAAGATCAGGGACGGTAGCCTTCAGCATGGGTCCCAACTCAATGTAAAGAAGACCCAAATCTTCACAAGTGGAGCCAATAAGGAACATCATGAGCAATGGAGAGAAGGTTGATCTTGTCAAGGGGTCCATCATGCTTGGATCCACCATCAATGCTCATAGAAGCAGCAGTCAAGAGATCCAACGACAAATTGCATTAGATGAGTCTGCTGCACAAGACCTTTTGAGAATGTTGAAAAGCGAGGATATTACCCTGAGGACTGAGGCGTGGCTGGCTCCGTCTTGGAAGAAGCACGGTCAGAGTGCTCCTTGGAGGCAAGAAGGGCAATAGCGAGTCTTACCTATTTCAGACATGTTCTCAGGAGAGACTAGTGCTGGAGAAAGACGTCATGTTCGGTACAGTAGAGGGGCAGCTTAAAAAGATGCAGGCCCTCTAGGAGATGCGTCAATACCCTGGCTGCACCAATGAACTCAATCTTAGAAACCATCGTCAGGGTGACCCAGGACCAGTCAGTGTTCTGTTCTGTGGGGCACACGGTTGAAATGGGTCAGAACCAACCTGATGGCAACGAACAACAAACCTTCTGGGAAGCTACAATTCAATGAATAAGTAGACAAAGTAATGCAATTGTTTTACTGTTTTACAGAATCATATTTTAAACATATTTATTCTGCACTTATTGAAGCCCTACCATGTGATTAGTCCAAATAGGATAAAGGTCGACGGCCATTTCTTAAAAAAAACTAAATGTTCCTTTCCTATTCAAAGTTCAAAGAAAAATCAAGTTATTCTTATTTCAAAATTTTCCTATCTCCTGTCATCCCACATCACATTTCAGTAAAACACTGTGAAAAGTGTTCTTAGAGTGTTATCAACTAAAAAATCTGCAACAAGTATGGCTTTTTACACAGGATTTCACACTGAATAATATAGTAACACCTAGAGATTCCTTAACCAGAGGTAGGGGTGGAGAGGACAGTTATTTAACAGATATTTTTAAAAGCATGACATGCATACCAGCAGCTCCTCAAACAGAATCCAGGACCTGATGTCATTGGTTCACGTGCTTAAAACTACTGTTGTAGAACATGGAGCCCACCCTAACCAACCTTCCGACGCTTTATACTCAAATCCCAAAAGCATTCCCGAAGATTGTGCCTCTCAATAAGAAGCCACTGTGTAGAAAGCTATATAAAGAAGATGACCACATAAACTCCCTTTGATAACTAAAACAAGTCAAAATAAATTAGTAGAAAATACCCTTTGGGTGGATGGAGGGCCAGAAAAAGTGGTTGCTGGCTAGCTTACCTTGCTTTTTTCCATTAACATTTTCTAAAGTACCAGCAAGCTGACTGTCAAAGCCATGTTGAAGGCCACTGCTTGACTCTGCAAGGTGATGTTCTTCCTCGGCAATAGGAGAGAGCACATGTTGCAGCCTCTGGTCATCAAGGGTCTGATTGGGCCACTGGGACACTACAGAATGTGAGTCCATCGCATGCTGGTCAGTACTGAGACTTGAACTTTGCGCGGAATCCTGCAAATCACTATTAAAACACGAGAAATGATCCACTTCAAGAAACAAGGGATTTCTGTCCCCTTGACTCCAATCATTGCCTTGTTCTTCATCTTCAACGTAAGGTTTCCGGCTCTGAATATCATCCAAGTCCTGATCATTCAGTTTCTTAGAATCTTGCTTGCTTAAGTTCATGAACAAAGCAGAGAATGTGTCACTTGCTTGCTGGAGAGCTTCATAAACCTGAGACATCCAGGAAGACAGAGGCTGGAAGAAGTTCTGAGACGCCATGACCAATACCATGGTCAGCGAACAGACGTCTACAAAGTCCACTTTTCAGTTCCTCCCATTACTCTGGATTCGTGTGAACTACAGACTAAGCATGACGAGAAATTAAGTTGGTGGTTCACTCGCAAAACTTCTCAGCTGAAACAGAGGAAAGAAATGCTTACACCCGACCCATTCAAGTTATAACCTCAGATCCATCACCAAATAGATACCAACTTGAATATTAATACAGTTAAACACAAAATAATTCAGGGGAAATTCTGAATATAAATTATTTCAATGCCTATCCACCTCCTCAGGCATGAGCAAAACTTCCATTAGCAATAATGGGTTCTGTTCATGTGGACTGAGAGAAGCCTATCCCCCACAGATCATACTTAAGAGTGTGAAAAGGATAAATAAATCTTCATTAAGAGGCAGTTGGTGTGACATTTCAAACATAGAACAGTTGGACGCTCCATCTCTGAGACTGCTGGTCCCAGAGAACAGAGTAATAACGTGACATGCCTCCTGACACAAAGATTTATCCTTTCAAAGGAAACGCATGCCTGGAATGAAGCTTTCAACAAATCTTTAAATAGGGTTTTCTACTGTGTGCAATTTCTAGAAATTATATCTACTCCTCAGGAACAAATACAATCACCAGGAAAAATGAGGCTGGCCAGTAAAGCATCCATCCAGCTTACTGGAGACATGACACTGGTACCTCATTGCCTTTGTCTCTGGTCAGACCTCCCAAAGCAAGCTCTCCACTACCTCTGAGACCTCTGAGAGAGAGCTCTTTGTGTAATATTTACAAACTGAAGGAAGGTACTGGGACATCAAGAGAACCACGGGACACTATGACAAGGTGGAGAAAGATGCCTATACGTATAGATGTGCGCATACATATAAAACAGATGTGTATGTTCATGCACGTGTACACCAGCTGCTTTTCTACATTGTATTTCATGGCATGCTCACAACTATCTCGTGAAGCTGGTAGGTGAGTAGTATCATCCATTAATTAAAAACTATGGAAACAGATGACTTTCCCAAACTCTGAAATGATATCAGTGGGGTTTGAGCCAGAATTAGAAAGACAGCTCTCCTATCCTCTTCCACCAGCCCTTTCTCCCATTATAACAAAGGGTGATTTCCTATGCAATTTAAGGACGTTTGGCATGTACAAGGGACCCTCACAAAGTTTGGGAGAAGATGCCATCATGTTTTCATTCCATTCTTGTGAGAATTTTTTGAAGCCCCCTTGTATGTTAGACACAGCCAACAACTCTGCATTTAAACTAGCAGAGGTCTTGATTTGAATCAAAGTCACTTCACCACCACGTGTCGGTGAAGACAGAACTTAAGGGGACTGTATTAATACATTATTGAAATGGCCCTTGCTCTTCTTCCCTCACCAAACACAGAGCAGGAGGTGCATGTTTCCAAGAGCCTAAAAGCACATTAAAGTACAGGCTGTCCCCAGGTTATGAATGCCTGACATGGATAATGCAGACTTGCACTGCAATGTTAGGTAAAGTTGCTCATACTTTGAAATGATTAAACCAGTCCCCGATGGCAGCCAATTCTTCATCATCATCACCTTCACCTCTGCCATCACGCAGCTCGGAAGGGGGTGAAAAGGGTTCCAGCCTTTCTTGCAGTAAAGAACACCTAAAGAAGAACCCTATACACCAGCGTGCCTTACCCATGAATTTGACAGAAAGAGGGTGCTCGTGTATACCCTGGGGACTGCCGGTCCCTTAGAGGCGGAAGGATCACAGAGAGCAGCAGTTCCTAAGGTTGCAATCCCCCTGGAACTCAAACTCCTGCATTTGAGACAATTTCTTCGGCAGGGATCTGCTCAGGCAATGCCTGAACACGTATATGAGGAGGATGTCCATAATCCCATATGGTGTTGTTTGTTTGCTTGTTTTGTTTGTTTTTAAAGGGAAAGCAGATCTCCGTTTATGATTATTTCCCCTTATTGACTTTAAAGAGCCCCAAACTCAGACTTGCAGTACCGGGTCTGGCCAAGTGAGGCAGAAGGTGGGCCCAGACAGACAGCACCAGAGGCCACGGGGCTGGTGCCCTCCTTCCTTCCCTGCTTGCTTCTTACTTATTACTGCGCCCCCTCCCCCCCTCTGCTGCCGGGTTTGTTGGGGTTCCTTCCTCCCCAGCCTCCAGCTCCAGCAGTGACCGTGAGAACGGCAAGAAGCAGACTCCCATAGCTTTCTTTAATACAAGGTTCACACAACATCCAAATCACACAGCCTACTATTATACGGAACACACTGTGCCTGCTAAGCAGCACACACCTGATTTAAAGATTTAGAAATCTGTCTAAATTTTTCTTTTCCGATTCAGTGGTAGCCATTCACCCATGCATTTATTCATTCCATAAACAAATATCAGTTGAGTGCCGATCAAGGGTTGGGCATAATGCCATGCATAAGGGAACCCTAAGGCCTCTGTCCCCAGGGAGGCCACATTTCATTTGAGGGGAAACAGGGCTCTCTTCATTCTTTCCTTATGCTGCAATAATGATCCACGTGTCTCTCGGGCTCTCCCTTGTCTTCCCGCCAACTCTGGATTTGACTATCCCTTGTCCCATGGCTTTAGCTCATTCTCCTTACACTGCCCCGCGAACACCATTTAGAAACCCCAAAACATACACCACTGCTGTTGTTGTTGCTAGGTGCCATCGAGTCAGTTCCGCTACACAGCGACCTGATGCACGACAGAAGGAAACACTTCTGGGGCCAGCACCATCCTCACAACTGTCCCTTGGCTTGAACCCATTGTTGCAGCCACTTCCTCTTAGCCTCGAGACTTGTGTCCCTGGTTTCTGAAGCACTGGTTCTCTGTCAAGTTGACAGCAACACACGGTGACCCCATGTGCGCCCAGTAGAACTGTCCATGGTGCTTTCAAGGTGTAGCCTTGTGGAAATTGGTCTCTAGACTTGTCTCCAAGGCACCCTGGGTGGGCTCAAGCACCAACCTTTCCGCTAGTGGTCAAGCACTTAACCCTTTACACAACCCATGCATTTTCTCAAGACCAGTCTCAAAGACGGGTATTTTAAAAGCACCTGACGAGCTGGTAACGGGCACAAAGGCCCTGGTTGGCCCAGTGGATCTTGTATTATTCCAGGTTCCTGCAGGTGATGATAATGTTCACAAAACTTTGAGAAATACTGCTCTTCAGAAATAGCTTTCCTTAGAAGTGTCACTAAAATATCAAATGCAATGCGTCAAGCTATTACATCACTTTTGCAACAGCAAGTCCTCAGCACTCCAGACCCGCAATTCTAGCGCTGGCCATTTTTGCTCTGCTCATCACTGCCCTCTTACCCTCCAAGTTCTGCCCGTGTTTGGACTCTCTCCATCGGGTTTTGCACAGTGATTTCCCGGAACTAGTATTCCCACAGAGAGCACATACCTAGCTGCTTCCCAGCTTCAATCCCTCTGTCCTTACTTACTATACGCTGGACATTTTATCAAATTGACAGTGAGTCTGCCCCGTCGGGTGCAAGCTCCAGGGTGAGCCGGAATTGTCTGCTTTCATCCCTATTTTATCCCCAAGGCCCGGTCCTCGGAAATTCCCAGCAGACAAATGAATGAATCCTAGTTTTAAAGCCATGCACAGAGCAGTCCCTAGTATATAATATGTACTCAACATTAATGAAATTGACATTGATGAATGAAATATGCTCAGAAAAGATGTGAAGCAAGGTTCTCTATCACATGATGCCTTTGCTGGGTAACATTAAAGAGTCTTCCAGCATGTATTCCACCCCCTTGTACCACCCACCCTTTGCCTATGTGGGTGTGTATTTTTCCTCCACAAACACTTTGCTTAAATTAATATGCTGAAGGGCATCACAGCAGACCTAGAAGCTTCCCTGAGATCACTGAGTTCAGCTTCCATGACTATCCACCAAAGAAACCCTGGGAGCCCCTTGGCTAAGCACTGGGCATGTGCCAGATGCCGCCGCCTGCTTCCACACAGACGACAGCCTTCAAAACCCTACCGGTGGTCCCACTGGCCCCACAGTCACGACGCATCAGGACGGACTCGATGGCTCGCATGGAAATATTCTCAACAGCAATAGGCTCACCTGCTCTCGACACGGGTGAAAACACTCTCCTGTTGGTACTTGAAACACTTGAAGGCATAAAACGGTATGTTCTTTCGTGATATTTTCCATCAGGCTTTTATACAAAAGGAAAGAAACCTCGAAGCAGACTCACTCCCATCGAGTCAATGTGGACTCATGGCAGCCCCTGTGGGTTTCTGAGACTACCACCGTCTACAGGAAAGCCCCGGCTTTCTCCTTCAGAGCTGCTGGTGGTGTTGAACTGCCAACCATGTGGAGTGTGGCCTAATGCGCAACCGCTGCACCACCACACCTAATGTTCATATTTAAGCCCAAATCTCTGAATTGAGATAAGCATCCTCTGCTTCAATGTTCTATTACTAATACCCTGCTTCCCCGACAGTAAGATATCCCCCGAAATAAGACCTACTTACAGTTTTGCCTCCCGCTGAAATGTAAGGCACCCCCTGAAAATAAGACCTCCCCAAAAATAAGGCCCCCCCGAAGCTACCATGACTCTGGACCATAGCGGTGGGCGCCGCCACACAGCTCACTGTTGGCCGCAGCGCAGCTGAAGCAGACAGGAAGTGCGAGGTCTCTTTTAATAAAACAATAAATATGTACCGTATTCTTCTTCATGGAAAAATAAAACATTCCCTGAAAATAAGACCTAGCGCATCTTTGGGAGCAAAATTTAATATAAGACACTGTCTTATTTTCAGGGAAACAGGGTAGATCAGTAATAATCTATATTCTTGGGCTCATGTCTCCTTGTCTTCTCTGGTCACGTCCACCATCCCAGTTTTTCTGAAAACGAGTCCCCTATGGCTTCTCTCCTTTGAAAAACCTGCTCTTCAGAACGTTTGAGATTGTGCAGGTCTGGGTGTACAGGACAATGGAGATGAGGTTTAGACCAGTGGTTATTTACCAGCCGGA